GATATTTTAGTAGATAAATCTATGGGTCATATAATGCCGTTTGGAACCATATATGATCATTATATGTTGTCATAAATGTTCATAATATGCTTGAGTTAATGAAATCCGTGAAAGTTGTAAACCGGTAAATAGCCGTTTAAAGGCAAATTGGATGGTTCCGCCAACCCAATTGGACTCCCGGAGAGTACTAGGGACTAGAGGTGGCCAGTGGGCCGGGTTGGACCCAGCCCACCCTAACTCGCACGGCTGGTGGGTCACGTGGGTCCGACCCGGTTTCAATCCGGCACAGCTCGGATTTAATCCGGGTTGTGTCGTGGGTCCAAAATTTTCGACACAACCCATTTCAACCCAGCTCAGTTTAACCCGTTTGATTCGACCCAAATCGCACAACCCATTTTGACTCATTTAATTCGACACACCTAGCCCGTGAACCCACCTAACCCGACCCACCTGGCACAACCCAGCCCGCACGGCCCACCCGCACGAATGACCCACCCAACCCGCACGAGCCAACCCACCTAACCCGCACGCATGACCCACCCAACCCGCACGCATGACCCACCCAACCCGCACGGCCGGCACAACCCGCACGGCCCGCACAACCCGCACGGCCCGCACAGCCCGCACAATTCGCACGACCCGCACGGCCTAACATCCATTTTAAAAAAAAAACGGCTAGTTTTTTGTATCTAACGGCTAGTTTTTTAAGTGTATGATCATCCATTCTATTTTTCCTATAAATACCAATTCCATTTCACTCAAATTTCCACACAAATTCAAGCTTTCTTTCTCTCTTACTTAAAAATTCTTATTGTTCTCAAATTCTCAAGTGTTATATAGAGTTATATTTTTGTTAAAAAAAATCTCCTTAATATTATTATTAGTATTCTTAAGATTCTAAAAAAAAAAAGTTCTTCTCCATTTTATAATTAGTAATCATACAAAAAAAAAAAAATGAGCTCAAGAGGAGGAATGGGAAGGAGTCAAAGTGGTGGTCGAAGTGGTAGCCAAAGGAGTGGTGGTGCAAATTTTTCGTATGAAATTAATACGGAAAATTTAAACCAATTTGTCAATGAATATGGAGATTATGGTTTAGGAGATAGGCAAAATATTCAAACGTCTCCACCACAACATTTCTCCCACGAGTCCCACCAATCATCAAGTTCAACTATGCCACCTCCATCGCAACCAACATCTCAACCTTCATCTCAAGGTAATTTCTAATTAAATTTTTATTGTTATGAATATTTAAAAAAACTATTATTAATGATTATAAAGTTAGTTTAGTTTCCAATTTTCTATGATTTACAATTAGTTAATTACCATGAAAAATGCGTTTAAATAAGTATAATTAAAATATTTAAAATTTAAAAGCTTATTTTCATGAATAGCATTTAAAAATTAATTTTAATAATTTGATTTATGAAAGGTGGTGGCGGTGAAAGTAGAGGTCGAGCACATTTTTCTTGGGTGTGGAAACATTTTGAACGAGTTGAGGTCACACCCCCGGGATGGCAACCTGGTCAACCAAAGAGGTTCACGTGTACATGCCTAGTTTGCAAGGCGCTAGGTGCAAATGTCAAGTCGTATAATTGGAAAACGGGAGATGGAACCGGAACCTTGAGTCGGCATTTGCAAAATAAACACGACTTGTTCGAAAATGGCCCCCGTCCTTCGGGGGGTGGCGTCCAAACACAATTGGGTGGATACATGAACCAACCCGGCGGAGGTACACCTTTCATTTATAATAAAGATAGAATGATTGATGAAATGAGTACTTTAGTTATTGCTAATGAATACCCTTTTAGTTACGGTGAAAATGCAAACGTTGAGCATTTTAATAAAGTTGCATTACAACCTGCATTTACTCGTGTCCCCCGAAATACCCTAAGACGTTATACACAAACTTCTTATTATAAGTATAGGAGTGGTTTGATTGAATTATTTCGTACTTTTGATGGTCGTGTTAGTTTTACAAGTGATACATGGACTTCTAGTTTTGGCGAACCTTTTCTTTGCATTACTGCTCATTGGGTGGATGATGATTGGTTTATTCAAAAACGTATACTATGTTTTCAAGCTATGGAAGAAAGGCATACCGGTTTTAACATCAAAGTTCGTATTTTGGATTGTTTAAAAGAATTTCACTTGAATAATAAAGTTTTTTCTTTGTCTCTTGATAATGCAACTGCAAACACAAAGTGTATTGACTATTTGAAAAATGACTCCGAGTTGAATTTGTTGTTGGGTGGTAGTCTCTTGCATGTTAGATGTTGTGCTCATATTTTGAATTTGTCTGTTCAAGAGGGTCTCGCTGAGTTGCAACCATTGCTAAACCCAATTAGAACAGTTATAAAATGGATTAGGATTACTCAGTCAGTTAGAAGAAAGTACATAGCTATGTGTAAAGAGAGAGGTCTTAAGAAAAGACAATGGTCTATTGATACCCCTACCCGTTGGAATTCTACTTTCAAGTTGTTGAGTGATGCTATAAAGTATCGTGATATTTTGACCCAACTTTACAATGAGACTCGTGTTGATCCTACTGAGTTAATAACCGAAAGTCATTGGACTAATGCTTCTTTTGTTCGTGATGTTTTAAATGCTTTTGATAGTGCAACTCATATTTTCTCTTATATTTATGAGCCTAACGTTCATTTAGTCATAATTGAGTGTGTTAAAGTTGTTCACACCATCGAAGAGCATATGAAGATTGATGGACTTCGTCCCGTTCTTGATAGCATGAAACGTAAGTGGCATACTTATTTTAGTGAATTTCCAATCATTTATGGAATTGCTGCTATTCTTGACCCCGGTGTCAAAGCTGAAGGTTTGGAAAATCTTTTAGAATTTTATTATACAAGTTTAAGTATCGATTATGATGTTAGTGAATATATTAACAAATGCAAATCTGTTTTGGGAGACCTTTATGATCATTATGCATCTATTTATGGTTTTGATAAAATGGTGGCAAGAACATAAAAAAAGTTTTCCTATATTGGCGAGAATTGCAAAAGATATACTTGCAGTTCCCGCTTCATCTGTTGCTTCCGAGTCTGCTTTTAGTGCAGGTAGAAGAGTGTTAGATGAAAAAAGATCTCGCTTAACTCCGGAAAGCATTCAAATTTGTGTTTGTAAGAAAGATTGGGATCAAGCTGAAAGAAGAACTCAAGGTTTAAAGGAAGACGAAGACGATGAAGATGATCCTGTGATGATATTGGAGTCGTCAACGGATGATGCAGCTTCCGGGGATGATGATGCAACAAACATGGGTGGCTAGAAAAGTCTAAATCAGGTACGCTAAGAACTACGTGGGCTTTGATTCTTTCGGGATACGTAGGCAACTTATTTTTCGAAAATTACAATTTAATTGCAAAATTAAATTTTAGTTTTCTAAAGATAGGTCCAAGCCCCCCCCCCCCAAATTTCAAAAGAAGTACAATATAAGAACTACGCTGGCTTTGATTCCTTATTTTATAATATAAGGATACATAGGCATCTTAATTAAGAGCAAGCCATCAAATTGTTAATTTTGTAAAAATTAAAACACCACACAACCCACCCGACCCTAACCCACGAACCCACCCGACCCTAACCCACAAACCCACCCGACCCTAACCCACCTAACCCACAAACCCACCCGACCCTAACCCACTAACCCACCCGACCCTAACCCACCTAACCCACAAACCCACCCGACCCTAACCCACTAACCCACCCTTCGACCCACCCTAACTCACTAATCCACCTTGACCCGTCTAACCCACGAACCTAGCTCGACCCACCCATGACCCGTCTAACCCACAAACCCAGCTCGACCCACCCACGATCCGTCTAACCCACAAACCCAGCTCGACCCACCCACGACTCGTCTAACCCACGAACCTAACCCTGGTGTGTCCAACTTCTCCGACCCAACCCACGACCCGGCCCACCCTACCCTACGTGTGTCGTGCCGTGTGTCATGAAACCCCAACCCGCGACCCACCTAACCCTAACCCAGCTCGCACGACTCGCACGGTGGACACATCTACTAGGGACCATGGTAAACATTTTGGCAATTTTTATTTTCGGGCGAAAAACAGTCAAAATATTCCAAAATTGAAGATATCCACGCTTTTTGAGAAATTTTGGAGGTTTCGGGGCCCGGTGTCGAAAAGTATTGAAATTCAAGGGGATAAATCTCGGGGTCATATAATTAAAATGCCGTTTGGAACCATATATTATCATTATATGTTGTCATAAATGTTCTTGGTGGGCTTGGGTTAATGTAATCGGTGCAAGTTGTAAACCGGTAATATAAATTGGTCGTTTAAAGGCAAATTGGATAATTCCACCCACCCAATGGGACTTCCACATGGTATAAGGGATCATGGTAAACATTTTGTTAATTTTTTTTTTCCGGGCGAAAAAAAGTCAAAAATTACAAAATTGAAGGCTTATATCCATGCTTTTGAGAGAAATTTTGGAGGACTCGAGCCCCGGTGTCTAAAAATCTTGAAATTTTAGGGGATAAATCTCGGGGTCATATAATCATTATATGTTGTCATAAATGTTCATGGCCTGGTAGGCTTGAATTAACACTACTACAAAAAGTTAAGGCCTTTTATCGACGCTAAAAAGCGTCGAAAAATTATTTCTCGACGCTCTAAAAAGCGTCGAAAAAACGTGAGTCGAAAATATACGAAGCGTCACAAATATGTATTTCGCGAATTATCCCAAATGTGTGTAGTTTTTTAGCGACGCTTTTACCAGCCCATATACTCAATTCTAGCGACGCTTTTTGTTGTCTTGCGTTTATTCGTGTCAGCCTTTGGTATGACGGGAAACTCTTTGAAATTTGAAAATGTGCAAATATGTAGACATTAAAAAGCGTCTAGAATTTTTTAAAGCTTTTTTTTTAATTTTATTAAATTATTACCATCATACATACATACATTATAGTTATATAAATTTATCATATATTAAATTAATAACATAAAAATTAAAATAAACAAATATTCTATATAACTAGATTTAAAAAAAAAATACAATAATTAATCAACAATATATAATAAGAGTACGTAGTTAATTAATTACCAAATTTTTAAAAAGAAAAAATAAACACAAATAATAAAATTTAAAAAAAAATGTCGTATATTATATATAGTAGCTTGTCCCTAAATAAATACATCACTAATATAAGACTAAAACCCAAATACATAGATGATGGCCTTATAGACAATATAGTCGCTTGTCTTGACGCTCAAGTGTCCCGGCCTATTCTCTTGTTGCACCTACATTGCCTTTTCCAATCTTCAAAAAAAAAAAACAAAAAAAAAAACAAAGTATAAATTAGTACATTACACAATATAGGCTCAAGATTCATAATCGACTTGAGACAATAACAAGGACATTATACTTTAATCTAGGCAATTAATTATGTACAATGCACATATTTAAATCTGTAAAGTAGGTCTATAATTATTTAAGCTTTCTTGTTGTCCATTAGAAAGCTTAAGAGAGTTATTGTGAAATAGAAGAGTCTTAAGTTGTATACTATTGAGAAAGCCAATACTGCAAGCTCTACTCCTCTGCATTCGATTTCTGCAGTAAGCAACAAATGGAAAGCCCCTTTTATTGGTTTCTATAAGCTAAATTCTGATGTTGCTCGTTTTGCCAATGATGATATGACTGGTTTGGGTGGGGTGATTCGTGACTCAGTGGGTGAGGTTATGGCTGCTACTTGCTGGTGCATTAAGGGCTACTATGAGGTGGATGTTGGGGAAGCTTTGGCAGCCAAGTATTGTCTCTCCATTGCAATCGAGTCTGGCCTGAATAGGATCACCTTGGAGACTAACTCGATGAAGCTGTAAAGTATTGGTTGACTAGCCCTTACATATAAAAATCAATTTATTTTCCTAAAACTACAGATTAAATTTTGAACAGCTATCTCTAGCTTCAAAAACTAATAACTCTAACTTTTGATTAAAGCTACCTCCACCACTAAAAGCTACCCCAAACACTACATTATCAAATATGTTCTCATATTTTTTTGTTAAGTAGTGGTTTGACACCAAAATTTACACAAATCCACAACTATATACTTATAATTTTCTTTCAATTCCAAAACTTCAGACTAAAATTACAAAAATGCAACAAATTATATTTGGCTCAACAAGTTAGATGACCAGGTCTCAAACACACATAGGGATGGCAGTGGATCGGGTTAAATGGGAGACTCACCCCATCCTCGCCCAAGTGGGGCGAGGATGAAGGGAGGTTTGGCGGGTGATGGGGCGGGGATGGGTATAAAATGTGTACCCTCCATGGGTGATGGGGCGGGTATGGATTTTAGAGTAGACTTGCCCCATATCCGCCCCGCCCCATACCCACCTTATACCCGCACTATATTTCTTTTAGAAGAGTTGAGAATTTATAAAACTTGATACCCCCTAAGACCCAATAAGCTTGAATAGTGAAAGTCCCAATTTTCTTAACCTAATTTGAAATAATCAACATTAATGTGATACAATAGAGCATCATGGCAAAGGATTTGGGACGATTTTGGGGCGAGTATGAGGTGGGTATGAATATCCAAGTGGGTGATGGGGCGGGGATGGATCATATCTTGTACCCGGTGGGGCGGGTATGGATGTGGATATTGTACCCGCCACGGGTGGTGGGGCGGGGATAGGTATAATATTTTTAGGCGGGTATGAGTATGGAGGTACTATCATCCGCATCCGACCCGCCCTATTGTCATCCCTAAACACATATGCTATGAAGCAAATACATACTTGTATATAGCTAGTAACTAGTAAAGAAAATTATTATACAATACTATAAATAAAGAAATTAAAATATTCCCAGACAAAGATCATGTAAGTTTGATAATTATGTAGCAAATTAACACAATGTTGTAATTCCATCTCTCTTAAAATTAGTTGCCATCTCTAGGATGTTGAAGTTTGAAATGATCAGTCCCAAACTCACCAAGAGATTTGGAGAAGAAGTATGTGGTGATTTCCTCGATTGTAAAATCCCTATAAATAGGAGGATTTTCTTTTGAGGTTAGCTCCTTAATTGGACCATATATCTTCTTTGATGAGAAATTACCACGAAAAAAGAACGCAACAGATGTCCTCGGTCCAACACTTTTTGCAATCACTCTATGGTAGACGCTTTTTAACACGTCATTAGTTATAATCTATCAAAATTGAAGATAAAATTTACAATTAGTGTGTCATCACAATGATATATATATATAAATAAAAATAAATTTATTACTCACTAATTAAGAAATAGAGCAATTAATTATAACTTAATAATAAGAGAAAAGATAATAAACCTGAAGTATATTGCCAAAGTTAACAATCAAAGCACTAGAGACAGGAGTAATATTAACCCATTTATTTTGGTGCAGAATCTGGAGTCCGCCAATTTGGTCTTGTAAAAGTATTGTGATAAATGAGTTATCAGCATGCCCATTTATTCCTAATGTCAATTCTGGCTCTGGACACGCTGGATAGTAGTGGTTTATGAAAGACCAACCTTTTTTACCTTTTGCCAAATTTCCAAGATGTTCTGGATCAAGTCCAAGACCCATTGATAGCAACATAAGTATGTGATCACCAAACTTAAGTATATGGTTGACATACTCCAATATCACATCTCTGCGCGCGCACACACACCCATACCAAACACAATATTACAAATATTTTCATCAAATAAAATTAATTATATAGCTAATGAATTATATTGATGATAATAGATGTAATGACGAAATTTGATCTTATCATCTAATACGTACCACACACGTGAATATGTGAAATTGTCACATATTACTAATTAAAGGGGCTAGAGTCTAGAATATAACAATATTGAATGTTAAATAATATGAAAAATTATTGAAAAAAAAAAAAAAAACCAACTTATGTTTATATTATGTTACATTGGAAACAAAAATTAACTCACTTGCAAATAGGAGGCAATTCTTGAGGATCAATTTCACCAGCCGTATGTAAAGTATTGACATACAAACTATCCCTCCAATTTGCAGCATTTGAATTAAACAAGTCATGATTTGAGTAATACATCACCCTCTTTGATTGAAAATCGCGACTATAGTACTCCTTTTTAGTCTCAGCATCTTGTTCATGAAACATTCGAGTACCATCAATTGTCTTTTTTAACAAATTCAATGGAATTCCATGATTTACCACTTGAAAAAATCCCCATTCCTTTGACGCCGAAAAGATTTCTTTGACTATCTCAGCAGTTCGATCATTACTTTGACCAACTTGACCAATATCTATGATGGGTACACTTAAATTTTCATCACAAGTTTCGAAATCCTTTGAACGATCCTTGGATGATCTTACAAATATGCTTGGTATACCTTCTGTTTCGGCGTCTACCAACCCTTTTACCCCGGTTTTTTCTTCATCGAATGCCTTGAGATCATTAATTCGATCATAACTACTTAAAGCTTCATCAATGGTGTTTTGGCTACCCATTGACTTTTGCAAATTTCCTTTGATGAATGTATACTGATTATGATGGGTTTTGTTTTGTTTTTAATTTGTTTGCTTCTTAAATAATTAGGAAGTTGACGTAAAGAGTAAAAAATCACATACGAATTATATAGGAAGATCAAATGCAAATGGAAGTACAATTAATAATTAAAATACGAGTATGCATCAATCCACATGCTTACTCATAATGTGCGTTAATCTCTATTGTACTAGATCTAAATGCATGCGATGTGCAATTATGTGTAATTTACATACTCCGGAAAACATTTTTAACAAACTCATACTCCTGTATTTCCAAAATATAGTACCAATTTCTTTTTATATAAAAATTAAAAAAAAAAAAAAATATTCTTGCTACATCTTCTATTTAACAATCATTTTTAAAGGTTTCTATTTTAAATGTCACTTGTAAAATAATTTGGTACCTATCTTAGCATGTAAAATTCTTTCAATTATTAATTTTATTTTGCATAATTTTTTTTCCGGTTTTTCACTAAAATTGAGTATGTCATAACAAGATTTTATTCAAAACTTAAACTTAAAACATTCTCGTATCCAATTATTAGGTCGATCTAATACTTTTCTATTTTGTTGTGTAAACAACGTTAGAAAAGACTTGTTTAGCTCAGCCCATTTAATGATTGTTGAGGCCCGCAATTTTACTTTCAATCCTATGATCAAAACGAAACATTTTGTGAAACCATTTACAATATTTTGTCAAAATTGAAATAAATAAAATTCGTAGTGGTTCAAAATATTGTACATTACACATGTGACATGCCATGTAACAACGCCAATAAAAATAAATCCACTGGTAACATGTTAGAAATACACATAGGTACCCAAAATATTTCCATGTACTTTTGATGATAATGCAATTTAATACAATGATCAGGGGTGAAGCATAAATCATCTCATCCAAAAATCCGATTGGCGTCTTCATAATTGTATCTTGAAATGATCAATACCAGGCTGATCTAGTGGCCTTGAGACAAAGTGTGTGAGGAACTCCTCGAGTGTAAATTCTCTATAGATCGATGGATTTTCTTCTGTTATTAGCTCCTCAATTGGGCCATATAACTTTCGTGATGAAAAAAGGCCTTTGAAAAAGAAAGCAATAGAAATCCTTGGACCTACCGTTTTTGCAATCACTCTATGATATACACTTTTAAGCTTGTCATTGGATACAATCTGAAATATTATGTAAAGTCAATATTATTTAATGTGTGACAACTCATATATATACTAAAACAATATTGTAATGAAATAGGCAAAAGATCGAGATCAAACCTGAAGTGCATCTCCAATGTTAACAATCAGCGCACCTTTTACAGGCTCAACATTAACCCATTGGTTCTCATGAAGAACTTGGAGACCTCCGATTTGATCTTGCAAAAGTATTGTAATAAAGGAGGCATCGGCGTGTTTGCTAGTTCCTAACGTAAGATCTGGCTCCGGACACTCCGGATAGTAGTGGCAAACTAAGTTCCAAGCTTTTGAACTTTCCAATTCTTTTAAACAGTTTGGTTTTAATCCAAGACCCATTGATAACAACATGAGTATAAGATCACCTAACTTAATGACATGATTGATATAATCCAGTATCACATCCCTGCAAAAATAGAGCTACCTTTTAGCAACATACTTCAAGAGTTGAAACTACAATATTAGCCAACAACAAATCCATAAAATAGCTCACTAATAAGTCACTAGTATTGATGAAATTGTGTATATATAAATCCAAATCAAATTCTAACAATTTGTTTTTATGAGGATAAAACTGATAAAATTTATAGTACGGAATAAGAGTAATAGATTTATGTACTTGGAAAAGGACTTGTAATCAAACCTGATATTGAATCTTGTTCATATCATTATTGCAGATAGGAATCAAGAGATTTTAAAACAAAACTATTACTCATTAAAGTGACCAATTAATCCAAAATCATGTATAGTATAATCAAATTCAAGCTCTAATTTTTTTGGGTTAACTTTTAATTATCTCCAAATTCAAGATCAAATGGCAAGATAACAATTAATTAAAAAAAAAAAAAAAAAAAAAAAAAACTTACTTGCATATTGGAGGTAACTCTTGAGGATCAACTTCACCAGTAAAAGTAGTGTTGACTGACAAACTATCCCTCCAATTAGCCGCATTCGATTTATAAAAATCGTAATTAGAATTAAAGGTGACAACCTTTGATTTATCGCGACTATAAAATTGCTTCTTACACTCATCATCTTGTTCATGAAACATTCGAGCACCTTCAATCATCATATCCAACACTTCGAAGGGTATCCCGTGATTTACCACTTGAAAAAATCCCCATTTTTTTGATGCTGAAACAAGATCTTTCGCAATTTCTATTGTTCTACTACTTTCATGATCAACATGAGCTAAATCTATTATCGGAACACTTATATCTTTTGGACATTTACTTAAATCTAATAAACGATCCTCGTGTGGTCGTACAAATATGCTAGGAATTTTTTTTGTTCCTTCATCAACTAGCCCTTTAACACCTGTTTTTCGAGCATCAAACGCCTTAAGATCGTTCGTTCGAGCATAACTCTCAGGTTGGGTTTCAATGAGGGTATCTTGGCTGTTCATTATTTTCACCCGTTTAAAATGGAATTTTGTTTTTTTTTTTTAAAATGATTGTGAGCTGGTTCAAAACTTCAAACTGCAAATTAAGGTTCCTTTAAAGCCAAGAGACTGAGTTCATTGACTTTATCGGTTAAAGAATTTTCCACCAAAATTAAAAATTTAAAAAACTCATACTTTAATGCGTGACAATACGTTAGATTCGATTATAATATACAGTACTTTTTTTCTTTTTTGGTAAGAGATTATAATATTTTCTTTTATTGGTAAGAGATTATAATATATTTCCCTTGTTAGGTATTCCCTCCATTTTTAAATATTTGCTCTATTTCTTCATATATACCAACACCGCAACACTCACTTTTGTATGCTTGTAGTTTTGTTTTTTTTCTATAAAAAATGAACTTATTAATAATGAACAAATTATAACGTGCACGCAACTGAAGTTAAGTATTTGTAGGAAAACAAACAATGAAAATTTAATTATGTAAAGTTAGTGAAAGAGAAAAACAACTACCGTAAAATAATAGATGTTGCAATTATTTTGAAACGGGTGAAATAGCTGAACTTTTAAGAGCATACTGAGTATGCACTGCTTAGAATCATATGAAATTGGTATACACTAGAATGGAATAACAAAGTATAAGGGATAGCAGATTAGTGAACACAAAATGTACAATAATCGCCTAAAAATTGAGACAGGAAACAACAAATAATGACATCAAAATCATACAGCAGCCAGATTTTGATGATCAGAATGAAAATGAACATGACTTAGTCAAGGATGTTGATGAGATTGTAGTGTTATTACTACTCTCCAACTTATGATTATGTAGCTTGAAGTATTCGAGTCCTGGTTCATCAAGGGGTCGAGAGAAGAAATATATGAGAAATTCACTAAGAGTGAACTGTCTATAAACCGCTGAATTTTCATCAGACAGCAGCTCTTGAATTGGTCCGTACAACTTTGGTGATGAACGTGGGCCGTGTAGAAAAAATGCAACTGAAATTCTTGGTCCGATATGATTAGCTGATACGCGGTGGTACACACTCTTGAACTTGTCGTTGGAAATCATCTGCATAGTAAAATAAAACAGATTAAAAAACAGTAAACTAGATCAGACAGTAGTACTCAGCTTATCTGATAAGAACCAAAAACAGGATGAACAAAATTAAGAAACCTGAAGAAGATCTCCAATGTTAACAACAAGGGCGCCGGGTATAGGCTGAACATCCACCCATTGATTATTATGTAGAATTTGGAGACCGCCGATTTGATCTTGTAGAAGTATAGTGAGAAATGAGGAATCAGAGTGTTTGCTTATCCCTTGAGTCAATTCAGGAGCAGGGCAAGCAGGGTAATATAGGTTTACGGCGGTCCACCCTTTGTTACATTCCATTTTTTTAAGATGATTTGGTTCGAGTCCAAGAGACATGGATAGCAACTCTAGAAGAATATCACTTAGCTTAAGTACTTGGTTGTAGTATTCCAACAACACATCCCTGAAAATTATCAAACGGAAACACTTATATAATTAGACTAGTAAAAGATAGCTTAGCATTATTTATGATCATATTCTAATGTATATTGTATAGGCACGAAAAATGGCAGTGATCAACAAATATACCTGCATATTTCTGGTAACTCTTTGGGATCAAGATGACCAGAACTTTTTGATGTGTCAACTGTTAAAGTGTCCCTCCAATTCGCAGTCTTTGAAGTATATAGGTCGAAATTGGATTGATATAAAACTTGTTTGGTCCTGTCACGGGTGTACATTTTCTTCTTTACCTCGGCATCTTGTTCATGAAACATTCGAACCCCTTGTACCATCTTATACAACAATTCTGAAGGGATCCCGTGATTTATCACTTGAAAAAATCCCCAATTTTCTGATGCATTAAGGACTTCTTTGACGATCTCAGCATACCGATCTTTGTTATGAATTTCTTCTAAATTTATCACCGGTACTTGGAGTTTCACACACGGAGTTTTGAGATCTTCTAAGAGCTCGTGAGTTGGTCGAATGAATATGTTAGGAAGAGTTTTTAAACCTGAATCTACTAGCCCCTTCACCCCTGTCTTCGTATCATCGAAAGCCTTCACCTCTCTAGCGCGATCATAGTCGAATTGGGAGCCATTGGTGTACCCGTCCATGCTAAATGTCCTCAAATTTAGCTATAGACTAGAACAATAATTTAGCACCACTTAGTTCAGTATATGATCCCTTAGTGATTAACGTTAAGGATACGACATGATTTGATAAAAGAGCCCTTAAGAATGATTGTGAGTCGATAACATATGTACAAGGTCTAGTTATAAAAAAATCATTTGAGTTAAACTTAAGACTTTTTCCGAATACTCTAAAATAACGTTTTATAGAGGTACTTGATTGATTAATTTGGTACCGACGGAGTAGTAGTAATATGTCGCATGTGCAGAAGATATTTAATTAATGATGGAGCAAACAAGACCATACAACTAATTATTGAAAAAGACGCACCGAATTTCTGTGGCTCACCGTAAGTTGAACCTCAGAAAAATAATAAGTGTTGATGTAGAAATAAATATTAGGAAAAATTATCAAAAATAATCTCAACTTTCAATTATTTTTTAATAATCTCAACTTTGTATTCCATCCGTCCAAATCAGTCCCAACCGGTCATTCAACTTGTTATTATAAGTTAACGGACACATATCATCCTACGATTGGTTGAAATATAAAAAAAATAAATAAAAAAGAAAAAATAAAAACTGAAAAATTAACCACCAGCCTTCAACCCAGCAACCCACACTATCACACACACCCAGCCCACCACCATGCCTCCCACATGTCGGCCGCCACCCAGTCACCCTCTCCTGGCGCCGGCGTCGACGCCGCCCTGACCACCGTCCCCCTTCACCTTAAACAACCTAAAAAAATTGTTTTAAAAATAAAAAAAACTTTATGTTTTGGAAGATGAAGTTCGAAGGTAAGGAGATCAAAATCATCAATCTGAAATTCATAATCAATATCATGATTTCTTTAAGGCAGTAATCTAGAAAAAATGGTGAAGAGTGAACAAGATCCCACCAGACCCATTAGATACGATGACGCTTACAATCTTGGTGTTGATAGATTAACCATAAGATATCAGATTTTAAAGGGGAAGGGAAGGTAGGGGTGGCGACTACGGTGGTTGCTGGGTCCGGTGTCGGAAAAGGGAAGGGAGGGGAGGGGGTGGCGCTAGCCGGAGAAGAGGGTCTGGGGCGGCACGCGCAGGGGTGGTGGCGGCTTTTTCTTAATTTTAATTTTGATTAATAAGTTAATAATAATACTAATATTAATAATAATTCTTTTTTTTTTACCAATCTCGTAGTGACATGTGTAGTTTATAACTAAGCAAAAAAATATTTACCTGTTTTATAGGTCACCGGTCACCGGTCACTTGGGACCATTTTGAGCAAATGAAGTATAAATTTGAGATTATTAAAAAATAATCAAAAGTTGGGATTATTTCGAGCGAATGGAGCAAAGTTGGGATTATTCCGGACAATTTTCCCTAAATATTATTTGTATAATCTATTAAGTTGTCATTTTATGCACTCACTGAAATAAAATCTCAATTATATTTGATAAAGATTTTAGGGGACTAATGCAAGTAATTACAAGAAATAAATAATTGAATTTAACCTTCTAGAAATTAATAAAGCAAAGGACGGTACAACCACTTACAAGACATGAGTAACAATTACTAATCCTGTATTCCTGTTTGATACTCTCTCTGTCTGTAAATTATATTTCTACATCTAATATGTCTTCCTCACATAATATTCTAAAATAATAGTTTGTATATACGTAATTTAAAAGAGTAATATATCGCATGTGCTGCCAAAGTTAACCGATAATATTGAAAAAAAAAGTTTAATTAGTGACGAAGCAAGCAAGACCATTTATATATAGCTATTTGAAAAAGACGCATACTGTATGTGGCTCACCGTGAGTGATAAATAAAGCTTATGTTCAACTTCAAAAAAAAAAAAAAAATAAACATTACAATCTGTGAAGTTGTCATTTTATGCACCCACTGAATATCTCAATTATTGGTTTATATTTTGATAAGGAACATATGCAAGTAATCACAAGAAGAAAATGATTGAATTTAACCTTCTAGATGTTAATAATGCACAACCACTAAATTCTAAAGAAGCTCGAACCCATTAAGTTGATCAAGGCATCTTATGACAAGACACAATTAAAAACTAATAGAATGCTTATTTTCTACTTACAGCCAATTTATTTCACATACATTTATATTTGACATTTATAATTTCAATTTCAATTTGCATTAAAAGCCAACTTTTAAATCAATATGTCCTTTACTCCAAAATAAAACAACATGTTACAAATGGTAACCTATGGTACATAACTAATACTCCCCCCGTCCCTTAATACAATCAGGGGCGGACCCAATTAAGTGACATGGGGGGACAGCTGTCCCCCCAATTTAAAAAAAAAAAATTAAAAAAAAAAAAAAAAAAAGCAAAACAAATCGCACAGCTGCTCCATTTCAATCTTCACTCCAATTCGCCATTACCACTACTCCACTAGTCCACTGCGTCGCTGCTCCACCATTCCACCAACCGGCGACCGTCGAGGCTTAGTGCGTGCGTGGTGCGTCGCTGCTCCTGTGCGGCTGTCGGGCTGTGCTCCATCTTCAGTCTTCGCTGCAGGTGCGTGCGTGAGTGCGTCAGGCGTCACTGGCTCGCTGCTCCACCGACCACCGCCTGTCCGGCTGTCCGCCTTGGCCCCTGGGTTCCTCACCACTCGCTGAGTCGCTGCTAAACTTATGGTATGTCTTGCTAAGTTGCTAACCCTAATTCGAATTTCGAAATTCCCAATTTGTTAATTTGAAATCCCCAATTCACCAATTGTTAACCCTAATTTCCAGATTTTTGTTGAATTATTTTAATTTTAATTGCAATATTTGTTGAATTTTAATTTTAATTGCAATTTTAATGTTAGGTTTTATAGTATGCATTTATGCAATGATGTGAATTGTGGAAATTCCGAAATTGAATAATTGATATATATTTTTTAATGTAATTAGGAAATGTCAAATGATTCACCTAATTCAAACAAATCCAAGGCTCCTAGAAAACAACCCGATCTTCGACAATTCTTGTCTAAAAGAAAGAAACTCCATGAAAATGAGTCAAATAACTCCCCTTCATTAAGCCCCCTCAAAGTCAAGAAGATGATATGGAAATGGGTGGTTCAAGTACTTGTAATGTACCATTGGAGGAAAATTTGGTATACGATGTTGAACTTCTTCCTCATGATCCGGGAAAAAGAATAAACATAATGGATTACCCCGCAAATGAACGAAATGCAGTTAGGAGGGGTTATATTCTTAAAAAACCTTGCCAACCAAAAACTCATGACTTTCCTCAAAGACAAGTGTCTGGTTTACGTCGCTTTAGTGTTCATTGGTTCAAGAAATGGGATTGGCTTGAGTATAGTATTGAAAAAGATGCTGCATTTTGTTTTGTATGTTACTTGTTCAAGAATGAAGTTGATAGTTATTCGGGGGGTGATGCATTTGTTGATGGAGGTTTAGGGCATGGAATAAACCGGAAAGATTTGAGAAGCATGTTGGTGGAATTAACAGTGCTCATAATCTTGCTTATGAGAAATATGTGAATTTAAGAGATGGAAAAAAAAAATCAATCTTGAATGTGTTTGAAAATGCAAGTGAGGTGATTAAAAGTGAATATTTTATCCGCTTGAATGCATCTTTAACTTGTTTAAGGTTTCTTTTGGGGCAAGGTTTGGCATTTCGTGGACATGATGAAAGCGGGGAGTCATATAATAGGGGTAATTTCCTTGAGCTTTTGAAATGGTTAGGAGAAAAGGTTGAGGAAGTAAGACAACATACTCTTGAAAAAGCACCTAAAAATTGTCAAATGATTTCCCCTTCTATTCAAAAGGACATTATTAATTGTTGTGCCAAAGAAACAACTAGGTGCATAATAGAAGAAGTTGGTGATGATTACTTTGCCATATTAGCCGATGAGTCAAGTGATGTGTCCCAAAAAGAACAACTAGCTCTTGTTTTGCGCTTTGTTAATAGAGATAGTGGAAAGGTAATGGAGCGATTTTTAGGCATTGTTCATGTTGGTAATACTACCGCTTTAACTCTTAAAGATGCAATCATGTCTTTACTTGTTGAACATTCATTGAGTCCATCTATGATAAGGGGGCAAGGGTACGATGGAGCTAGCAACATGAAAGGTGAAATAAATGGTCTTAAGACTTTGATTATGAATGATACTCCAAGTGCCTACTACGTACATTGTTTTGCTCATCAACTTCAATTAACACTAGTTGCCGTTGCTAAAAAGAATGATAGTTGTGGTTGGCTTTTTGAGATACTTGCAAATTTATTGAATGTGGTTGGAGTTTCTTGCAAGAGAAGAGAAATGATTCGACAAGATCAAGCTGAAGAAGTTGCTCGAGCATTGGATGTAGGGGATATTGTGAGTGGATCGGGTTTAAATCAAGAACTTGGTTTGAAAAGGCCCGGGGATACTCGTTGGAGTTCTTATTACAAGTCTATTTCAAACATCATCCTCTTATTTCCTACAATTGTTAAGGTACTTGTACACATTGGGAAGCATGGTGTATCGGAAGATAAGTTCAAAGCTCAAATTGTTTTAGGACAGTTAGAGTCATTTGACTTTGTTTTTATTGCTCACTTGATGTTGACTATTTTTGGTTACACTAATGATTTGTGTGTTGCTTTGCAAAGAAAGGAGCAAGATATTGTAAATGCCATGGAACTTGTCACTTACACAAAATTGGTGTTGCAAAAAATGAGGGAGCAAGGATGGGATAGTCTCTTAAACAAGGTAACTTCATTTTGTGCTACTAATATGTATGGCTTGTTTAAGTCCTAAAGATAACAAAGATAACTTCAAGACGTTTTGTTGAAGAAGCAACAAATGAACATCATTTTCGGGTTGGAATTTTTGTAAGAGTGATTGATTTGCATCTTCAAGAACTTGATGATCGATTTAATGAGAGGAATATGGAGATACTAATATGTATGGCTTGTTTAAGTCCTAAAGATAACTTCTCATCCTTTGATAAAGATAAGGTACTTAAACTTGCCTCTTTTTATCCCGAAGAATTTTCAAGCTTTGATTTGATGGCTCTTGAATGTCAACTTGATATATTCATGGAGAATATGCTAAATGATGATAGATTTCAAGGTTTAAATGACCTTAACTCTCTTTCTATGATGCTTGTTAAAACTAATAAGCATAAGACTTTTCCTCTTATTCATTTGCTTATCAAGTTGATGTTGATTCTTCCGGTTGCCACGACAAGTGTTGAAAGAGTCTTTTCCGCAATGACATGTGTCAAAAATAAGTTGCGAAATAGCATGGGTGATCAACTTATGAATGATTGTTTGGTCACTTTTATTGAGAAGGATGTCTTCCTAAGAGTTTCCGATGAAAAAATTGTTGATCGCTTCCAAAATATGAAGACTCGAAGGATGAAAGTGTAATTTTAATGTAATGTTTATGTAATTTTTTTCATCATTTGAATTGTATGACTAAGTATGTTTTTTATTTTGAAATTTTAATATTAAGTATTAACTAATTTGTGTGTTTGAGTTTTTTTTTTGTTTTTATTTTTTGTTAAGCTATTTGTAAGTTAAGCATTTTGTCCCCCCGAATTGAAAATCCTGGATCCGCCACTGAATACAATGCCTCTTTTAAACATTTATTACTCACATAATAAAGAGAAAGAGGTATTGTATTAAGAAACAGAGGGAATACTCCGTAAGATAAACAAATAGACGTCAAAAAAACACCTAGAAATAGCACACATTTGGATCCCAAATCCAGTGACGCCCCTGCTCCATCACCTCAAGTCATCAACCTCGAATTTTCTTTCTACATGCCATCTCCATGATTTTGTATTTTTAAGTACTCAAATCCAGCATCATCGAGGGGCCGTGAGAAGAAATGTGCATAAAATGCATCGAGAGTGAACTCTCTATAAATAGCTGGATTTTTTTTTTCCGATAACAACTCTTTAATTGGTCCGTACAACTTTGAGGATGATGAAATACCTTTAAGAAAGAATGCTGATGAAATTCTTGGACCAACTTGATTAGCAGTCACTCTATGATTAACACTTTTTAATTTGTCGTTGGAAATAATCTGCATCATAGCATAACTTATCAAGAAAAGAAAAAAAAAAAAAAATTCAACGCTACTTCCAATTTCTAGATAACATGTAACATTTCCATTTTAGACCGGTCTAGAATTAAAGGCTACTTTCATCATTTAGTACCTAAATTGCATTTATTTTCCTTCATATGCCCTTACTAGCTAGTACGTGAATTAAATGTAGCCAATTATTTACAGACATAAGTATGGCCCTGTTTGATTCACCTTAATTTTGCTGAACTGAAATTATTTTTACTGAACTGAACTTATTTTTACTGAACTAAACTTAATTTTACTGAACTTAAATTATTTTTACTAAACTGAAATTATTTTTACTGATTTTCTATTATAATTCTTCTTTAAGAAAACTGAATTTTACTGAACTGAAATTATTTTTACTGAACTAAAATTAATTTTACTGAACTGAACTTATTTTTACTGAAGTGAAATTATTTTTACTTAATATTATTTTTTTAAGGTGAAGAGAACATGGCCTATGAATGAGTTTGATATAATTAAAATACCTGAAGGATATCACCGATATTTATAACAAGGGCTCCCGGAATTGGCTGAACGTCGACCCATTGATTTTTGTGAAGGACTTGGAGGCCACCAATTTGGTCTTGCAATAGTATAGTGAGGAATGCAGGATCAGTGTGTTTGCATGTTCCTAAGGTCAATTTTGGAGCAGGACAAGCAGGGTAGTAGTGGTTTATTGAAGCCCATCCCTTGGTACATTCGGTTTCTTTCAAATAATTAGGTTCGAGTCCAAGACCCATAGATAGTAACTCTAGTAGAACATCACTTAGCTTCAGTACTTGGTTAAAATAGTCCAACATCGCATCCCTACAAATCAACCAATGGACACATAGAATTCAAATATAATCACATTATAATAAGGCAAAAGCTAATGAGCGTCCCCGGGGCGTTAGATAAGAGAATTAAAGTGCAAATATTAGAGTAAAATTAACATTAATTACACCGAACGACGCGTGATTTTGTCATGAATTCCTAACTTAATACCATTTCAACCAATATAATTTATCCTCATCTAATGCCCCGGGACGCTCGTTAGCAAGATTGATTAATTCAAATTAAACTATTAACGTGACTACTAATTTCAGACAATATACATACCTGCATATTTCAGGTAACTCATTGGGATCGAGATAATCAATTTTATAAGTGTCAACTGCCAAAGTATCCCTCCAATTCGCAGCCCGAGAATTATAAAGATCATAATTAGACATATACTTAACTTGTTTTGTCATGTCACGGCTATAAAAATTCTTCTTTACCTCATCATCCTGCTCAAAGAAACTCCGAATCCCCTGCAACATCTTATCCAACACTTCCGAAGAAATCCCATGATTTACAACTTGAAAAAATCCCCAATTTTCTGATGCATCTAAGACTTGTTCGACAACCTCGTTGTAACGATCCTTACTACGATCAATCCCTTCAAAATTTATCACTGGAACCTCGAGCTTAACACAAGGTGTGCTAAGCTCTTGTACGAGCTCCTCTGGCGGTCGAATGAATATCCTAGGAATTGCTTTTGTACCTAAATCAACCAGCCCTTTCACCCCTGCCTTCGTAGCATCAAAGGCTTGCAGCTCTTTTACGCGATCGTAGTCGAGTTGGGAGCCGTTGGTGCATACGTCCATGCTTGCTTAATTGTGTACTCTACACCTTTCAAAGATAAACTAGTACGACTTTACGAGTCGAATATTGAATGAGAATTATTGTTGTGTATGGGTAATGTTACTTGGTAATTGGTATGTAGTACACTTTAATTTTATTACGCGAAATGGGTATGGGTTCGCAAATTTGCTACCTAGTTTTACAAAAGTCGATAGTGTACAATCTATATGTTCATTAGCCAAATTGATCACATATATAATCCCGACTTTACCAATTTTGGCATTAATTGAAATGTTATCTTCTACTACGTAGATATAATTAAAAAAAATATTCACAAAAAACTAAAAAAAATAATAATAATAAATAAATAAAAACAAATTTGGAGCTAACTTTTGTGAAAGATCAAGTATTTTGGGACCCTAGAATATATATGTGGAGATCTATGTACCACGTATTAAGGATTTTAACCATGGAAGACTTGAAATCTTTAATAACGTGCAACAAATACGATTACATATTTGTATTTATATAAACAAACAAACAATAGTGATGTTTGGGAAGGATGATCTTGAATCTCACAAGACACTCTCCGAAATTGTAATTCTTTACCTAGTGATTACATAAGTAGTTGGTTATAACTTATAAGCTTGGTAATTTAGTTTATCCTTCCCTTTTAATTACAACATGGAGAGAGGATGCACATTTTAACAGTAGGGTAGAGGGATAGAGACATAACAAGAGGGATTCATGAATCGATTAGGACAATGATAGAGTAATCCCTATTCTTTAAAACTGCTCCGTTCTATTGTAATCTGCTTTGCTCTACAGACTCAATCTGATATGTTGAAATCTATTTTGTTAAGTCCAGAAGCTCAAAGAAACAAGACCTTAACACTGCCTAAAAATATTTAACACTAGCCTTAAATAAAGCTACAGTTATTCTACAATTTTCTTCTCAAAAAGGATTTTTAAAAAGCTTAGATTTGGACAAATTTTCTTAGGTTGGGCTGACCTCAATATTTGCATTTTTATCCAAGCTTTGCGCCAGCGTTTTAGACCCTAACAATGACTTTTAAGATTTGGGCCTAAAAATCCCAGGTAGGCCCTAATCATGGGCCTAATAACGGGCCTCTCTTACACCTAAAGCCCGAGCTGCCCCAGTAATTGGACCTTATCTGTTTGTTTTATTTTTACTATTCTTCATCCCCAATTGTTTGTGTTTTTTACGAGTTCCTCCCCATTTGTTTGCCGTATTGTATTTTGGGGAATTTTCAACGGTAACCCCTTAGCTTTGCTATCACCAACGGTGACCTCCTCTTTTTTATACTTCATCCGTTTTTTTTTAAGTTGACACGTTTTTTTTTAGTCACGTTCGCCAATGTACTTATTCAATCATTAATATCTTTAATTATCAATAAGCAAAAATTATGAAAATTTGATATTTTGAAAGTATATAATGTGACGAATCTAACAAGATCTCACATGACTATATTTTTCATTACGTATAAGCAAAAAACACGGTCAAAGGGAGGTGTGTGAATAGTGCTAAAGTCAAAACGTGTCAACTAAATAAAAACGGAGGTAGTATTATACAAAATGACCTCAATTAAAAAAAATTATCTCACTTATGACTTTAATGAGAGTTAATTAATTAAAAAAAACTAACTATAGTTAGCTTTGAAAAAAAAAAACACCAACCCAACCGCCACCAACCCCCTCATCTGAAATGCCGACCTCCCATCCAAACCGCCGAACTATCCCTCCATCATTTCCCATGCCTGACCCAAACCCTAACCTCATAACTTTCTCTCCTCTGACCTTTGATTCTCGCCATCTCGTCGCCTCGCTGTGGGTAGGTTTTGGTCGAGGTCAGGAGGAGGCGTAATGGGTTTAGGTTTTAAGGTTACGATTCTAGGCGGAGATCAAAGAAGATAAAGAGATCAAAAGAGGGTGGAGGAGAGGGCGGAGAAGAAAGAGAGAAAGATCGGTGGTTTAGTGGTCTGGGGTTGGTCGTGGTTTGGGCTCGGCGGTCTGGGGTTGGTAGGGGTTCTGAGTTCGGCGATCTAGTGGTGGTGACGGTGAGAAGGAGGAGAGGGAGGGTTGTGGGCGGGGATTTGTGAATCTGGGGCTTGGCGGTGGTCAAGGTGGAGTACGTTGGTGCAGGGTCACCGGAAGTCAGGGACCCTGGGTAGCGTCATCGACGATCGGAGCTGAGGAACCTGGGTAGTGTTGCCGGAAGGGAGTTAATTGATGGATAGGTGGTGGGTTGGGGGTTAATTTTTTAGATTTTTTTAAAAAAAATATAAATCTAACTATAGTTAATATTTAAGGAAATAAGGTTATGAGTGGGATAAAATTTTTACTAAGGTCATTTTGTATAATAAAAAAGTAAGGAGGTCACCATTGGTGCATAGCAGAAGTTGGGAGTCACCGTTGAGAATTTCCCTTGTATAGTCAAAATTTAAGAACTTTGAACACAATATATACTAGATCAATAATGCTTTATATGTTTCAATGTTTACTTTTGATCAAGTATAATTTGTATAAAGCTAGATTGAAATATTTATGTTTTAATACGTGTTTCCAAAATCATAAAAATTTCGAGTTGTACCCGGTTAATTCCCCAAATAAACAAATTTTGTTTATTTGGAGTGTAACTGTCTTTTCAAGTATCAATGGAAGGGTACATGCGTCTTTTCATGTACTAGTTGAAGGGTACACGTGTAATTTCCTAAATGCAAGTTGCAAATAATATTTGGACAATTTACTAAAAGTAATGAATAAACGGTTTGGGTTGTTCTCGGTTTCGGGTTGTATCAGTTCGGCTTGATATCGGGCACGGTTCATTAACGGCTCTCAAACATTCGGATCGTTTCAGTTTCAGGTTTTAAAAAATCGGGTTGGGTCGGTTTACGGTTTTAAAATAACAGGTTCTTAACGGTACGGTTCCTTTTTGGAACAGCTCAAAACGGTTCGGATTCACCAGTTCGGGTCGGTTTTTGACAGCTCTAATCACAACCATTTGTACTGCCCTCAACTAACAACTTTTATTTATTATTGTATATAAAGTATACATTTATACAACCTTAATTTGAGCACTACTATAAAATACTCCTATAGATTAGGAGAGAAATTGTACTTTATTGCCATGCACATAACACACATTAACACACATTTATATGGAACATAAAGGTATATGACGCACGAAAGTATATTATTCTTTCTTATTTTGACCTAAGCAAATAATCTCTGCCCATTAGAAATATGAGATATTCGAAATATATATATGAAAATATCTCATATCTCTAATAACGTACATCTGACTCATTGTAAATTATTCTTCTATTCAATCTAGTAAGGCCAATTATTTTTTACTTGTTACTAACATAAAAACTTAAGTAGCATGTATCAAAGTAGGGAAAGGCTTATTATTTTAGCATTCTATAAGAAAAAGACTTGAGATTGATCATTATATCTTGAAAAAGTCAAGGGCAGGGCTTCCATCTTGACCTTTGTTGAAGTAATGGCCAAGATACTCCTGAGTTGTGATCTCCCGGTAAATAGGTGGATTTTCTTCGGATAGTAACTCTTTAATTGGACCGTAAATTCTTGTGTTCGAAGGATGTGGCTTGAAAAATGCTGCCACTGAAACCCTTGGACCCACTGTTTTTGCCTTCACTCTATGGTACACGCTCTTGATCTTGTCATTCGTAATCAACTACATATAGACAAGTTAGATAACATCAATGAATAATACTCAATTTGATATACTCCGTAAATTTTCCATCCTTTATTTTGACATTCAAGAACATTATTAATTCTACCAAACAATGTAGGTCATTAGTCAGTTCAACACACATTTTTATAGTCGGGAAAAAACATCCTTCATTCTTTTTTACTTGACCTGCTTCGACTTTTACACTATTTACCCTTTCTTTGACCATCTTTTGTAAATTATATGTAAGTAAAAAAATATATTCACGTGAAATCTAAGAAATCTTGTTAGATTTGTCTCAATAAGCACTATAATAATGACGTATCATTGTAAAATCCATAGGTTAGTAATGCGATGTATCATTGTAAAATGTTGTGAAAGTGCAAGTTACCTGAAGAAGATCTCCCGTATTGATGACAAGTGCACCAGGAACATGAGGAACATCAACTAGCTGATCTTGGTGCCAAACTTGAAGACCACCAACTTGGTCTTGTACGAGGATGGTTAGCACATCATTATCAGCATGTTTGCCGAACCCAATGGCTACATCAGGCTCAGGGCACGGTGGATAGTAGTGTCCCAACAACATCACGTCTTGGGCACAATCCATGTCGTTCAAGTGATTAGGGTTTAGCCCTAGCGCCCTCGAGATTAGTTCAAACAAAGTGTGGGACAACTTCGTCACTTGCTTATTATACTCCAATACTATGTCCCTGTAACACAAGTACTTACATTATAACATAATACGTGTCATTTTATAACATCATCACGTCTGTTTTTCTTTTAAAGAGAGTATGTTACACTGATATTATTAATTAGAAAAAGATATCTATGTAAAACTACATAAATCGATAATATATACACAATATACCTGCACACAAGAGGCAATTCCTCGGGTTTAGGAGGTTCAGGGGTTGTAACGATTGTTATGGTATCCTCCAATTAGTAACGGGTCCAGTGTACAAGTAATAGTTAGAAAAATAAACACATTTTTTACCAGCATATTCACGAGTATAGTATTGTTTCTTGACCTCAGGGTCTTCCTCATGGAACCTACGTACGCTATCAACAACACCATCGACGACATCTTGAGGGATACCGTGGTTAACCACTTGGAAAAATCCTTAATTCACACAAGCATTCTCGATCTCTTCGATCAGGACGATCACCTTCTTAAGCTTTTCGGGATCATGTTCAATCCCTTCAAGGTTGATCGTAGGAATGGTGTAATCGGAGTTGTTGGGCTCAATATCAGGGCGATTGTGGTCTAGGTTGTTAACGAACATACGTGGGACCTTGGACAAACCCGAGTCAATGAGTCCCTTAACACCTAACCTAGCCTCATCAAAGGATTTTAGCTCACTCTTTCGGTCGTATTGGTCGTTCATTGTTGTGGTTGTGGCTTGTGTTAGGCTCATTATTTTTTCTTGGTTTTTTTTTTTTTTTTGGTTATTCTTGATAGTATTTTGGTAGTATTTTTCTATGTAACTTTTGCCACAAACTAGGAAATATGAGCAAGTGTAGTGAGTTGAGTCTTTCTTGCGCCTCCTCAATTTATAGCAAGCTAAGTGTAGACATAATAAAAATATTAGATTAGTATTCAATGGTCTTCCTTGTAGACTAGTATATACTACATAATTATAAAGATTAGTCACTAGCATTTTTTCATGATTATAATTATTCAATACTAGCAGGTCTATATTCAACGATACATTAATTAAGC